TTTTTGCTACTTTTGTAATTCTTATATCATTATTATTGCACTACTTCAAATTATTTTAATCCCAATGATTTTTATCTTTTGTATAACTTTTCTACTTTGCTTTATTCTTTATATAGGTTAATATTATAATGTTTTTCTATCTATATTATATAATCCATCTTTATTCTTATAATTTAAAAAATATTATCATCATATATATTTCAAATTATAAATCCTATTTAAAAGTACCCTTTCAAAATATAATTATAAAATATTAATGATTTTTATATAGTATATATAATTCTTTAGTAACTATATGTTTTTTTATTAATAATAAAATATAATAAAATAATATAAAGTAAAAATACTAAAATATCCTTTTTTTTAAAAAAAAAAAAGTGTTATATTATATAAACTTTATATTATATCATATATTTTATGCTTTTATATTTTCAAAAGCTTTTAATTTTTATTTTTAAGTATACTGTATATATATATATATAAAAGAAAACTGATATTTTATTAATTATCACATTTATAATACTATAAACAATAATAAGTCAAGTCAATTTACTGTATATTTGAATTGAGTTTAAGTTTAATCTAAATTAAATATTTAATTCAAGCGTTGAAATTAATATTTATAAAATGTCGAAATATAAACAATTAATAAAGTAAAAAATTTTTAAACTATAAAGTATTGTAAAATATTAAAAATGTGTTCAGAAATTTCAATTATAATCTGAAAGTTCTTGCTAAATTTACTATTATTATGTAATTCAAATTTTAATTTATTGATTATTATACAAAATTTATCTTATCGGAGGGTTTTGTTTTTGCAAAACCTAAGCAGAATTGACGCGATAATCTTCCGCACTTGATGTGGGATGTAAGTTTTGGAGATTAAAAAGAAGCTGGAAAAGATGTATGAGAAATTTCAGCATGTATTTTTTTAATTTCCCACATTATAAGATAATCATAAGTAATATATTTAACGATAATGGAACGGATGTAACAATAAAAATTTGTCACTTATTTTTGACCGATAACGCAAGAATTAACTATCACGAACTCCAAATCTAAACCAAATAAACTAAGCGAAATAAATACATTTTGAAATAAAATGGTCAATTGATTATCATTTCGAATTAGTTTTATATAGAATTGGGAAGTGCCCCTCATTATCTCTCATTATCTAAACGATAACAGGGTAACCTACCTATAACCTCTATCCTCTTTATAACAACTATAAAATGATTTAATTTTATAGACGAAAGCAAAAGATGATTTGATAAGAATACCGCATGATGTGATACCATCTGACATCAAGAAAGGTATTTTTGAAACTTTAATTCTTTCACTGATCTACATCTCGCATTTCTCGAAGAACCTTAATAACAAAACATGAAAAAAAATTTTTTTTTTTTCTTATTTGCTTCCCTTTTTCTTTTATTTTTTTTTAAAAAAAAAAAAAAAAAAGTAAGAAAGGAATAAAGAAATTGAGTTGCTTAATAAAAAAAAAAATACCCAAAAATTGTTTGCTTTTGAAGTGAAAGTAACGTTTTAAGTAAATTCTGTGGATAATCTGTATGTTATATGAATTTAATGTAAATCCTTTCCAAAAACTGATAACGAAAATCCATAGTTTTAATTATTTAAGTCGGAAATAAGAACCATTTTAAAAACAAAACACTCTTCTTTTGCTTCATTTATTTGCTTTGACCAGATAGAAAAAACCCTTTCATAATTTTTTTTTTTAGGATAATCCTTTATTATGTCTACGGTCTTCAAAATATCATATGAACCACCACCACTAGAAGTTTTAAATCAATCGACTCAACTACCAGCAATACCACTTCCAATTTCACCACCTAATTTAACGATAACTCGACGATTAATATTTCCGAGTATACTATCAACATCATTTGCGCCTACTTCATCACCAACAACTTTCGTGATAAAGACAACGAGTGTAAAGCCAACATGGAATCAGCTTAGCACAAAAATTCGGGAACAATTTAATATACCCGAAGATATTAATTTTAGTTTAACTTATATGGGTGCAGGAGGTAAAGAAATGGCCTTGTCTTCCCAAGATGAATTAATTAATTATTTTTCTCAAGATGAAGGTGAAGTTTTACCTATTCTAAAAAATAATTGCAGTTATAAGTTTGGTTTAACGATCTTACCTCAAAACAATAATGTTGAAGAAGATAAGAAAGGTGGAGATAATGATATTAAAGAATTTGAAAAGGTGAATTATCACATTGAAGATGGGCAATTGGATGTTTTATTTTATGATGATGATTATGATGAGTGTTATAATTATGACTATAATGACGACGAAGAGTATTTACATTCTCGATATGGATGTTCTCAACAATAATAATATTAATTACATACTAATTTAATCTAGAAAATCCCCTTAATACAATAGTTTAATTTAATAAATGTCCTCTTTTTTTCTTTTTCTTTTAATATATTTAATTATTTAATAATTTTTACATAGACAAAATTTTAAATTCTTTTTTTACTTGCTCTGCTTGAATTTATTAAGTTTGTGATATCTTCTCTAAAAACGTTATCAATTACTAAAATCTATGCTTTCTACGAATTAAATTTTACTAAGAATAAAACCTTCTCTTTTTTGAATTCTTTTTCTTTAATGTTATTACCGAAAATGTTTACAAGTACTCCTCGTTCGAAGTAGTGAAAGAATTTGATATGGAGTCTCATCAATTTTTTCAAAAGGAAAAACTTTGGTTTTAATATAAATGAAATTCAAAATCTTTAGGTTTATCATAAATTATTTTACCGTTTGAACGCCTCGCAAGGCAGTTTATGCTCGTAGTATTTGTTTACTTTACCACACTCGTTTTTCGAGCTTTATCATGCATATTATATGGGACCCTTGCAATAGAAGGAGAAGAAACTGCCGGGAAAAAATAAAAATGAGTAAATGCTAAATCCGAACATTTCTCGGCCTGAAGTCATATTTCTGCATACGATTTCCACCTTTCTATTGCAAAGGTCCGCCATATGCTTACTATATGTAAGGCTTTTTTTAGAAGCAGTAAAATCATTATCGCCTTGAACAACAACCGATTTGAAAAGGCCAAAATTTCGAGAACTTGTGATAATCAACAAAGCGAAGCTGTGAATTCCAATATTTTATTTGTTAAACAAATTTTACGGGACCAGATTACAAATATTCAAGAAGAACTTGTAGTTGCTCCTGATGTGACTGTTTTTACTTGCTACTACCAAAAGAATATATATATAATTATGACAACGAATTGCTGATTATAAATACATCATATCTATATTATTCCCGTTTTCATTTTACGTGACTTGAGAATGCTTATAAAGAATACAGAATATACCCTTTGTTTTCTTTGCAACAAGTTAGCTGGTTTATGTCATCGGTATTATCATCAAGTAAAATCTTTTCTACTTGAATGAATGATCATGGAGAATATCTTCCTGATGTATCAGAAGATGTAAGATTTGTACCTAATAAAAAAGTTGAGAATTCCCCTCGAGAATAAATAATGGCGGAAGTTTCATCAGATTAATTTTTATTATTTAAATATTCCGGACGTTATTTTTTTTGGACATGAACCTTGGACTATCCAATATTGTCCCAAATGACAACACTGGGTAAGAATTTTAAGCACTTTCCTCTTTTATAGAATTTGTTATAGTTGTTGTTGATTCCCGGACTTTATCATAATCTCTCGGATCCCAAAATAACAGTTGATTCAGTTTTAATATTTTCGACAAGTCTTTCATTAACGTATTCATAATGTTCATTAATAATTATATATTATTACTTCAATTTAAGTTTTATTATTTTAATTATGGATAGCATAACGAAAAATTACAAAAAAGAAAAATATTAAATTTGATTAAACTTTTACGAAACTATCAAGAAATACGTTGAAATTATTCTACAGTAAAATGTAATTTTGAAAAAATTGCCATATAAAGAAATTTTTTCATTGTTCCATTATTTTTTCCTTGGGTCACCATATCGAATTATTAGAAGCTCTAATTCAAGTTCTTCTGTTTTCGTTTAAGAGTGCTGAACTTGTTTTCTAATTGTAGAGGAATTTGCTAATAATATAAAGATAATTAGATTAATTTATTTATTTTTTAATCAAAAATACTACGAAATCAACAATTATACCTCATTCTCGAAAGATTCTTCTAAGTTTTTGATTCTTTTTAACAGGTACTTAGTTCTTATATCCTTCAAGAATTTTTCAAGATTCTGCTGTCTATGATTTTCGTTTTCGGTAGGGTTAAACTCGAGAATTTGTCGCACCGGTTCTTCGGTAGGGTTTGGCTCTTCACTGTACGTTTGTAAAGTAAAAAAAAAATTTGGTTAAAGTACATAATATATGGTAAAAAATGAAAAATACAAAAAAAAAAAATCTTACAAAAAGTAAAATACCAGACTTTATGAATTAAATCGTACTGCAACGATTCTTTAAATTTGATTGGTCCTTGCGGTCCATTAAATATTCTACCTAGGGATGGGCGTTAATTAACCGAGGGATAATTAACCATTTTGGTTAATTTTGAATTGACCAATCAAATCAAAGAAAAATTGACCAA